AATCCTTCTTTGCATTGGCTGCCAGGAAGCTCAGAGACAAGTCTGTGGCAAGAGGGACTCGTCTGTCTTATAGCAGCTGTCTCCCTCCCGGCTCTTTCTGGGTGTCTCTAACCTGACTAAAATCATTTTTGGAAGGAGGCAAGGCATCTTTTGTTTTTTTTAAGACAGGGTCTCACTGTGTCGACCAGTCTAGAGTACAGTGGCGTGATCTCAGCTCACTGCAACCTCTGTCTCCCAGGTTCAAGCGGTTCTCCTGCCTCAGCTTCCCAAGTAGGTTAACTTTTTGATACCAGACAGTAAGCTTGGATTAAGTATTTTCCATAATAATGCTCATTCATTCATTCATTCATTCATCCATCCTGGCAGCATCCACTTCAGGTTCTGAGCTGGGGTGAGGGATTCAGCCATCCAGGACAGGATCTGGAATTTGCTCTGCGCCTTTTCAGACCCTCTTCTCCTCCTCCTCCAGTAAGAAGGTCAACAGGACCTGCTTACAGGCCCCCTATTACTGAAAGCAAACTGAACCTCCAGTTAATGTCCTGCCCAAGGTTTCAAAGGTAGTGAGTGGCAGAGCTAGGCCCAGGCTGCCAGATGCCTCCTTGAGGGCATGGGTGTGGCAGAGGCGTGGCTGGTGCTGGAGGGTTGACTGAGGCCTATCCCACTGCTGCTGTACACAGATGAACGTGGGCTCAAAGGCCCTGGGGGAGATAGGACCCCCAGGGAGCTAGTGTGGCCTGGGGGTTCCCGGAGGAAGGCGGTCTCTCCCCAACGCTGGTCTGGGCCTGGCCCTTGCTGCTGGGATGTGTCAGATGCTGTCCTGTGTCCTGCCCTCTAGCATCCCAGGAGGAGGGGGCCAGCCAGCAGGCCTGCTCCTGTTATGAGCTTCCCGACCTTAGAAAAAGCTCAAGCTGATTCCTACAGCCCTGAAGCCCCATGGTGGCTTCTGTGGCAGCCTTACCTGTGCCTCTTCCTGCTGTCTCACCAGAGGCCGTGCCATCAGCCTTGCTCTCCACGCAGGTATGGTCATGCCACCAGGGCTCTGGCCTTTGACTGGTGTGTGCAACCCTGCCCTGCCCCCATTTGCCTGTCTCAGCCCTTGCTAGGGTGGAAGCTCCATGAGGGCCTGGCCAGTCACTCTGCTGAATGCCTGAGGGAAAAACCAGTAACAGACCCCACTCAAGGTGGTTGTGAGGACCTGGCAGGGTGGGGGTGTGGCCCAGTACCTCGGAAGACTCTAGGAGGACCATCCTGGCCCTATAAATGTTTGTGCCAAGGCAGGTCCCCTGTCCCTCAGCACACAGGAAGGGGCAGTAGGTAGCAAGACAGTTTCCAGGTGACAGCATGAGGGCAAGTGAGGCCTAGAGAAGAAGGGTCCATTGCCTCCAGCCCGTCACATTCCCTCCGGGTGGGCTGGACAGCCAGGTGGGAGAAAGAGGGATCCTCAGGTAGGCGGGAGTCAGGGAGAGCTGCGTGCCCTCATGAGGCTTGTGTTTCATCTCCACTTCTCAGATGAGGGGACTGTGGCTCAGAGACCTTTGCAGGGGGACTGATCATTGCACAGGGCCGTCTGAAGGGAGCCTGGGACTGCATTTCCATGTAGGCCCTGGGTGAATCTGGAACCTGGCTGGCTTTCCTGGCTCCCCTACCCTTTGGTTCCCTTATGTTCTTGGCCTTCTTTTCACAGCTCAGAAGCAGCCGAGTAGTTGGTCGTGTTGTCTGCAGTCGCACTGAAGCACATTTTATTTTGGCTAAGTGACATTCCTTTGTTGTCCCTGTCTTGCGATTAGTTAGGGTAATAGGTTGGTTATATTATGTGGAATTTATTGCAGGATGGTAAGGGAGCATGTGACAAAATGGAGCAATAGTTCTGTAAGGCTGAGAGAAGCTGGGTGTGTACCCAGTGGCTGGGCCACTCAGAGGGGACTGTCATGCTGTCAGTACTGTAGTGGGACCCAAGCAGGCTTTACTCACCGGCCTGTTAACAGCTGTGCGAGGCCTGTTAACAGCTGTGCGAGTCAGGCCTTTCGCTTGTGTTAGCTCACCTTGTGAAAAAATGAGCTCTGACTTAACAGATGACAACTAAGGAATGGAGAGCCGAACCCCTTGTTCAGGGTTGCATAGGAAGTGGCAGGGTCAGGGCTGAATCTTAAAACTTAGAGGGCAGGGCCTGGTGTGGTGGCTCACACCTGAAATCCCAGCACTTTGGGAGGCCAAGGCGGACGGATCACCTGATGTCAGGAGTTCGAGACCAACCTGGCCAACCAACATGGTGAAACCCCATCTCTACTAAAACTACAAAAATTAGCTGGGTGTGGTGACAGGCGCCTGTAATCCCAGCTACTCCGGAGGCTGAGGCAAGAGAATCGCTTGAACTCAGGAGGTAGAGGTTGCAGTGAGCCGAGATCACGCCACTGCATTCCAGCCTAGGCAACAGAGTCTTGAGACTCTGTCTCAAAAAAAAAAAAAAAAAAGAAAAACCAAAAAACTCTAGAGGGTAAAAGAACTGTAACATCTGGGATAAAGTTAGCTGTTGAAATAAATACAAGTCCTACTGTTGGAGTAGTGTCAGAGCTGGCCTGCATCTTTGACTTTGAGACTTCCTAGCAGCCAGAACAAAGAAAGAAATGGATTATTTCCACTGGAGCCACAGTGGCCGTAACAAACAGAAGCCATCTATTTGGATGCTGGAAATGGAGAAGACTTGCTCCCTAGAAATAGATGCTGCAGGATGTGGTGGGTGACATTCTGTTCAAACCACAAATACCTGAAATGATTTGGCCACTGTGATCACTCAACCACAGTATGGCCTAAGCTGGGTCCAGGGAGCAGCTGTTGCTGGCCTGGCTTGACTTTTGAGGGAGGTGGAATAGCGGGCACATGAGAGAAGGGAACCTCAATCCCCCACAGCTGCTGACACAGCCCCCAGACTTGAGCTTGGCTCCCCCATCACCCATCCCCCCATATAGCTTAATCAGATGGGCATCTGGTGGTCCTTCCCTGCAGTGGCCAGAGTCCAGAGCCTGGGCTGTGCAGGGTGAGGTTTCGGCTGCAGCAGGGATTGTCCTGCCCCCGTGTGCCCACATGTTGCAACCTGGCTGGAGCCTCTGGCATAGGATACCCATACCGCCAGGTAGCTCAGTGGTAGACCCGGGTTCTGATACTTGGCAGGCTTGGGTTGAGATTGTGGCTCTAGGCCTGGGCGGCTCTCACGGACTGCTGTGGGGAGTCGGGGAAGAACCCCTGGGTTGTGCTCAGCCAGCAGGCAGGTGGCAGCCAGGCTGGCTATGGGTGAGGACGGGAATCCTCTTTTCACCACTGCCTGCCTGCTCAGCAGTTCCTCAGCTGCTGGGGGTGGAGCTGGCTTGCAGGGGCCAGAGTCAGAGTGAAACCGGCAGCTCTGCTGGTTAATCTCAGCACTGATACTGGGGACTAGGCCTGGAGCGGAACTGAAAGGGAGACCAGGCCCGTTCCCCTCCAGGCCTGGCCTATATCCTGCCAGTGATCCTTAAGGCCTGCAGCCAGTGGGGAGGGTGGAGGCCAGGCAGGGCCAACTGGAAAAGTAGCAGAAGGAAGTGGCCACTCGCACCTTACCCATCTTGCAGACAGGAAATGAAGGCTCCGCAGGGCTGGCTAGCTGTGAAAATGGGCAAGAGCACAGAGGCCCCACTCCCTGCACTGTGTCCAGTGCCCGTGTGGATGCCATGCGAGGCCTCACTCTGCCTGCCCCTTCCTGGCTGCTGGACCTCTGGGAGTGGGAGGTGAAAATGCCCTGGCTGGTGCTGGTCACTTCAGGTTGGAATGTTCTAGTCATGCAGCTTTCTAGTGAGAGGCTGCAGTAAGCTGTGGCCAGTGTTGGTCGTTCCTGCAGTCATTACTCTCCTCCAGCCTGTTGTGTCCGCCAACCAGAGCAGGCCTGGGAGCTCCCAGGAGACCTGCTGAGAGGGCCCAGGTGGCCATCCTGCTCCTGCCAGGATGCCCTCTTACCTCACTGTTCATTGACTCCCCTGCAGGTGGGGAAGAGGGATAAAGGAGGTGGCCAGGCCACTGGGTCATGATCCTTCCAACAGAGGTACCTGCTACCTCTGTGTCTAAAGCAAGGTTAAGCTTTTGGGGGTTAATAGCACTAGCAGCTCCAGTCCAAGGTGTGCCCTTTTGGGCTTGGGTGGAGGTTGGATTACCTGAAGCCACGGTTGCTGGAACATCCTTTGGGCCTGCCTCTGCTTTCCATCCCCCTGCTCCTGGTTTGTTAGGGGCTATAGTATTTTCCAGGAACACCTGAATGGAAGGGGACCAGTGGGACCACTTCTGTCCATTCCTCACTTCATCTCTTTCTCCTCTTTTCTTCTTTTGGTCATCTTTTCAGTCTTATCACAAGAGGAAGGGGAGGGGCAAACCCCCTCCTGAGCAGATTCCCAACCGGAAGCAGCTGGCTCCTTGGCTGCAGAGTGCCCAGCACAGGAAGCATCTGCAGGGTCAGTCAAGACCTGGGAGCAGAGTTCCTGCCAGCAAAGGAACAGTGGCCAACTCCTAGCCACCCTGCAGCCCTATGTGCCGGGTGTCCTGGGAAGGTCCAGGGCCAAGATTTTGTGGTTTTACAGTGGCTGTAACTTGGGCTAGCCATGCTAGGCTCTGTCCCTTTTGGGCTTGGTGTGATGAGAGGGTCAGCAGCTGGCATCACCTGGCTGGGCAGGGAGCTCTTTGCTCACCAGTGGGAAGAGAAACGGATGTCAGACACATGGCAGAGTGGAAATGTCCCCAGGTCGAGGTCCAAGGGGCTGGCCTTCTGCCAGCACACGCTGCTTAGGACCTCAGTGTGAATGGTGTTCAGGAGGCTAGGGTAAGGCACCCTGGACCTCACTACAGGCTCAGAGCCTGCACAGCAACACCATGGATACTCTCTCTAAAAGGGGGACTCCTGGGGAGACTATAGACAAACTCAGGCCTGGCTGGAAAAAAAAGCATCAGGAACAAGCTTTGAGTACCCCATCTTGGTCTCGTAGAGTTCAAGGCCCAAGCTACAAGCAGCTTGCTCCAGCATCCAGGAGGTCCGGCGGTGCACACGCCTTGAGATGCCTGACAACCTCTACACCTTTGTGCTGAAGGTGAGTGACAAGGCTTTTCACACCCTGGGGCAATACAAATACATACACATACATCAGACCCAACCCTGTTCCCTTCCTTCCTGCCAGGTGAAGGACCGGACAGACATCATCTTTGAGGTGGGAGATGAGCAGCAGCTGAATTCATGGATGGCTGAGCTCCGGGAGTGCACAGGCCGAGGGTGAGGTCCCAGGCCCTCGTCCCTGGCACGACCTTTGCTGCTACCACCCCCTGACCTGCCCAGATTCTTAACCTCAGCCTCTTCTCCAGCAGGCTGGAGAGCACAGAAGCAGAGATGCATATTCCCTCAGCCCTAGAGCCCAGCACATCCAGCTCCCCAAGGGGCAGCACAGATTCTCTTAACCAAGGTGAGTAAACCAATGGCTAGGCCATTGTATTCTGGGTATGCTGGAACCCAGACTCAGCTCAGGACATAAGGCAGCCCCCTGCGACCACCATCACCCATCTTAATCTAACAGGTGCTTCTCCTGGGGGGCTGCTGGACCCAGCCTGCCAGAAGACAGACCATTTCCTGTCCTGCTACCCCTGGTTCCATGGCCCCATCTCCAGAGTGAAAGCAGCTCAGCTGGTTCAGCTGCAGGGCCCTGATGCTCATGGAGTGTTCCTGGTGCGGCAGAGCGAGACGCGGCGTGGGGAATACGTGCTCACTTTCAACTTTCAGGGGATAGCCAAGGTATGGGGCGGGGCAGGCAGGACCGTGCCACTCCTCTCCACTGGAGTTCAGGGTCCTAGAGGGACAGCCCGAGCCCACCATCCTCTCCTCCCACAGCACCTGCGCCTGTCGCTGACCGAGCGGGGCCAGTGCCGTGTGCAGCACCTCCACTTTCCCTCGGTCGTGGACATGCTCCACCACTTCCAGCGCTCGCCCATTCCACTCGAGTGCGGCGCTGCCTGTGACGTCCGGCTCTCCAGCTACGTGGTAGTCGTCTCCCAGCCACCAGGTCTGACCCTACTGCCCTTTGCTAAAGGGGGTGGCTGACACTGGGTAGAGGCTTGCTGCAGACAAGGTACAGGGTACAGGGATCTTGTTCTGTGTCCTGTCAGCACTTGCCTTAAGACTGATGGTGTGGTCTCTCTCGGTCACTTGTCCTAGGTTCCTGCAACACTGTCCTGTTCCCTTTCTCCCTTCCTCACTGGGATTCAGAGTTGGGCCTTCCCCACCTTAACTCTTCTGGCTGTCCCCGGGGGCTCAGCCCAGAGGGTCTCCCAGGGCGATCCTCACCCCCCGAGCAGATCTTCCACCTGGTGCCTTCGCCCGAAGAACTGGCCAACAGCCTGCGGCACCTGGAGCCTGAGCCTGTGAATCGAGCCCGGGACTCGGACTACGAAATGGACTCATCCTCCCGGAGCCACCTGCGGGCCATAGACAATCAGTACACACCTCTCTGACCAGAGAGGAATTCCAGGCCTCAACAGCTGCCCTTGAGGAACACAGGCAGAAGTGTGAACTTGTGAATGTAATTGATCTTTCCTTCCTTCCAGAGAGAGATTTAAGGGACACTGTTAACTGCTCGTGCCAGTTTGGACGTGACCCTTCTATTAGGCCTGTTGAAGGGCCCTCCTGTAAGTTTCATCTATCACCTGGCTTTCTCCTTATTGTTTACAGATGTAGTTCTTGTTAGAGGATGCCGCTAGCTCCTGCCCGGGGTCCCTATGCCCAGTCCCTGTTACTCTTAGAGAAAGGAGTTGGGGTGAGGGCCAGAGCTGGCAGTGGAAACTTGTTCTCTTTTTCACTGACACTGTCACAGCAGATGACAGACTTTCTATGGGAAGTGGGGGTCATCAGGAAGCCCAGAACACTAATAAGCGGTTCTCCCATCTACCGTCAGTCCATGTGGCAGGTCTACTGTGTCCATGCCACAGATGACCACACCTAATCCTGCTTCTACTCTCAGCTTTAGGACAAAAGCTCTGTCAGAGGGACAAGCTGAAGGTCAAAAATGATTTTAAACATTTTACCTCAGACTAATTTCTTTAAAGGATTCAGGTTCAAAACTAAACCACTGCTTATTTCAGTGCACTGTTTCAACTAACACCCATGCAATTTTTGTAGTCGGAGAGAGCTATGCAAACCCTACCTAATTCACAGTCTGAGCCAGCACGCTGACTTGTCTACTGCATCCTCGGGACAGTCACTGCTGCTGAGCGGCCACTGTCCTTCCTAAATGTCAAGAAGTGAAGTATGTCACCCTTTCAGGGAAATTCAGGCAATTACTGAAATAGGGTGGCAAAGAACAGTTCTACCCTGGTGCCTTACGAACAAAAAACTGGATTCTGGTTTACAGCAGCTTTACAGTGATAGTTAAATTAACTGGGGTTGGGGGAAGAACAAGCAAAAAAGGAAGGAGGACTCCTGGGCCCTTTCTAGTAAATCCTTCAACAACAAGGCTGGCTCGGTGCCCTCCAAGCATCTAATGGCTTATTAAATTATCCCACAAGTGGGTTTTGGGCTCCTTTTTTGAGCCAAAATGGAAGCTGGGAATCTGGTGCCGTAACTAATGAGAAACTCTTTTAATAGCCCACAATCAGTGTTCTGTTCCAGCTGGCTACTGCTTCATTGGATTGAGAATGTATCTCCATGCACACATGGGCGCACACAATCTCCACCATCCAGGGAGGTCCTGAAGTCAAATCTCTATCTATACAAGTGATACAATTCATGGGGGGCTGGCTCCTCCCAGAATCTTTGTCTGGAGGCTCAGAAACAAGGGGGCAGTGACAGTGGAATCAGCTGCTCTTGGGTGCCAACAGAGCCATTCAGTACAACCCCCAGGCTCACGGCTGTGGCTTCTAGGAAACTGGGAGTTTAGATCAGCTTTACAGATACATCAATCAGAGGCTAAAATGAAACCTTGGCCTAAAACTCGCAGGACTGACTGCCTGGGAGAAGGGTTAGGTCTGCTCCTTCTACTTAAGTCTCTGTACTCCAAGAGGTCAGATTTCTTTTAGAATTTTCTTTGGGTCTTTCAGAGGGTGGGGAAACACACCCCTCTGCACCACTGTTTTTCTTTTTTTTTTTTTTTTTGAGACGGAGTTTCACTCTTGTCAACCAAGCTGGAGTGCAGTGGTGCGATCTTGGCTCACTGCAACCTCCACCTTCCTGGTTCAAGCAATTCTGTCTCAGCCTCCTGAGTAGCTGGGATTACAAGCGCCAGTCACCACACTCGGCTAATTTTGTATTTTTAGTAGAGACAGGGTTTCGCCGTGTTGGCCAGGCTGGTCTCAAACGCTTGACCTCAGGTGATCCATCCACCTTGGCCTCCCAAAGTGCTGAGATTACAGGCGTGAGCCACCATGCCCAGTCTGTACCACTTTAGTACCAACACTCCTGGGTGATTTCATGGACCCTAAAGCAGACCTGACACTGATCCAGATTTGCAGTCCATTTTTAAGGACTGTCTTTATCTCCTCAAAGTCAAGCAGCTTTCTCTGGAAAATGAATGCTAACTAGTGTGAACCAAAAGAGTAAGTAATAGTCTGAAGTTTTTTAAAGGAGAAAGCCCAAAAGTCATTGGTCCTCCCCTCCGCACAGGAAAGATGCCCAGTAGATAATGAACCAAATTAAGTTCCTTCCCTCCAGCCAGAAGTTAAACATCTGGGATATGACGTCTTCACACCAGGGGCACTCATTTCTTAGCAGCCTCTCTACACACATCTCTCAGGTGGTGCCAAGAGGCACACCAGGTAGAGCAAACTTGGCAGCTCTAACAGGCTGCAAAGTACAACTTCAGATTCCGTGGCAGAGATTTGGAAAGCACCCACCTCCAGACTGCTTCCTTTCTAAACTCGTCCAAGTTACCAGGACAGCTCAAATACATGCTGACAAAAAACTCTCATGGCCCTAGGAAGAAGTGACACTAAGCCAACGCCTTTTCTTTGTGCGGGAGCAGACCCAGCTGATGAAGGGGTGGGCAGCAGTGTGGGGCAGGCACCCCACTGGCTGCAGCTAGCCCACCATAGGCACAGCACATCCCACCACTCTCCTTCTAGTCCCGACCAGGCCCCAGCCAGCAACTTCTACCGAGAGCCATGGCTCAGCACCAAACTGGACAGTAGACATCATGATCCCTCCAGTTAGCTCTAAAATTACAGACCCCACCAGTAGAGCTTGACAGCTCCCGGCACCATCACTTCCTTCATCTGACTTTATTGAACTTTTACAAACTAACAGTCACCAGCACCAAAGAATTAAGTCAACTAACCTGCCTTGAATTTTAGACCAGCAATCCATATGGCTTTATCTGGTATAAATCTTCTGCCTTTGATCATTTCTGGACCGTAGGAAAAAGGAATAGCAATCATTAAAATCTTGGGCCAGAGAACACTATTTTTACATAACAGTTTCTTAACCTAAAGTCAAGGCCTTGGACTCTTCCCTGAGGGTTGCCTGCGATTCCTTCATGCTTTCTATTCAGGGCTAAGTCCCTTACTGCAAATGTGTTAGCTCTAACATCTCCCACAAGCTAGAGGAACTTGCGAGTATATTAACAAGGACACATCTGACATCCTGTATTTGGTTAGAATATACAGCACATTGTGATAACAAAGTGGATTCATCTTGTATCATTATAGGCAGAAGGTATTTGGCAAATTTTTATGTATTGTTTTATGTACTGTACAAGTAACTTATTCTTGAATAATGCAAATTTTGCTATAATGTACAAATTGCTATATGTGAATTAAAAAGTTTTCAGAATCTTGATTTGCTGTCACAATATTTAAAGGCTCAATTAAGACCATGATCTCTCTACAAAACCCTTGCCCTGCCCAAATACTTGCTCTTCCCTTTGTCCTCCCCACTGCAATCTGGGAATATTAACAAATGCTTATGAGTCCATCTATGTCAATAAGCAGCTTTGTACATCTTTGTGTCTTTTCAGCCTTCATGCCCTCTGGATTTCTTTATTGCATTTTTTTTCTGAGTGTCTCCTGCCCCCTACTGGTAAAATAGGAAAATGCCTGAATTGGGAACTTCCAGCTAATGACACTCATTTTGGTTCAGGAGATATTAAAAAGGAAGCTTACAGAATTGGTGCCAGCTCGAGGATGTGGAATTTCAGTGCTGCCCAACTCTGGCCAACCTTCCTCCTCCTGAAGCAGATCTCTAATCCACCAAAGAGAATAGCTCAGTCTTGTCTTTTTCTAGAGACACCTTGAACCAGAACTAAAGGTGAAGAAGAAAAATCATTTGACAGCTACCTTCCGGGATATTAAAAACACACCCTTAGCGCACCTGCTTTGATATTAAGTATCCTACAGTAGAAGTAGCTTATACAGACACACACTAACTTGATCAGTTTTTAAAACTTTTTTTATTTTTTAAATTTTTTTAAAGTTTTTATTTTATATTATCTACAAAGTAAAAGTTTTTCCCTTAACTTAAAAGTTGAACCACTGTAGACAGTGATCACCTCATCAAACTTGATTTATAAATAATAATCCGTCAGTTTGACGGTAAGAATTTACTGAACCTTTGTCAAGTTTAGTAAAAGGGCGTTCCAAGTCTTGATTTTTTTTTTTTTTTTTTTTAAGCAGTAATAGCAGCAAGAATCACTCTTGTTACTTCTTTTGCTAGCTGATGTGTTCATGACTTTCAAGGGTTATTAAAAAATAAATAACTTCCAGTTTCGGCAAGCAGAGCTGGGGTACCTGTGGGACTCTGAAACAGCGTATGGAATTATGGAATAGCCCCCAAGTTCCTAAATGCCTCTACTCGGTCCAAATATCTTCCACTGCAAGTGAACTGTTAGCATTCCTATTGGATGTTACAAGAAATCAACATATATATTTTAAAAACAAAATAAATGAAATTCTAGTTTTCTGTGCTTCCAGTTGGTAGAAGCAGTAGAAGGGAGGAGGGAATTTGGCCTTTCGGTTCCTCCAGGGCAGCCTTACAACTGCTGTTGGTGGTGGGCTTGTACTGTAAAAAGAAAAGCGAACATTGAAACAGAAAACTGGCAACACTACACATCAGCCTAGTGTCTCTGCAGCACATGATTGTAAACTATCCTCGTGCTAGCTGAACAAGACTCAAAATTGAATTCGCTTTCCCCCCTCCCATCTGCACCAAAGTGGGGAGGGTTGGGTGGGTGGGTAGAAACAAACCAGTCAGACGTAAAACCACTTCAGGTAAAACTCCCAGAAGACTTGTTCATGGGTTAGAAAAAAAGGCCTTAACAAACCCCCTCCCCAAATATTAGCCAAGCACCAGTACTGCTTTCAGAATAACAGGTCAGACTGTGAAGTATCGCCATGGCAGCCATCAAGTAGTAGAGCACAATCACAGGGCGCTCTCCCCTGGTCAGGGCATAGGCTGGGGCTAACGCTACACTCAAAGCCAGTCCATCCACAGCGCTTTCTCAGCAGTATCTTCTCCAGAGCTACAATCAAACTCTGCCATGGTAATAACCCCCCACATGTCAGACTTTTGGGACTCAGGAAGGAAAACACTGCCCTGTCCAACCTATCATAACAAGGAAGGCCAACTGAGTCCTAGGCATGCATCAGCTACACAGAATGCTGCTGCTGCTGCTTCTCATCAAGCCAAATCCTGTATACCATCAGAACACACACAGACTCGGCTCCCGGAAGCCTCAGGCCCTGATGCTAAACTGATCGTCACAGTCCCTCCTGTGCACACTCCTGGATGGGTCTTGCTAGTTCTCAAATGTGGGCTTGAAGCACTGGCCCTGCCTGCCATTCCACCTGTGCGAGCAGAATGCTTTGGGGTGCCCCGGCGGCCCCTGCACACACACGCCTCACCTGAAGGGTGCGTCATATAGGGGAAATGCGCAGTTGTCGAGACTGGAATGGGCTGTAGTGCACTTTGAGCGAGGGCGGCCTGGGGACCGCCGGGTGGCTGTGTCGTCATTAGCATCATTGGCGCATGGGCAGTTGGATGAGAAGGAACCATTCCTGACTGTACATGAGCCTGAAACAGAGAGCTCTTTTACGCATACAGGCAACATCTCCAGCTTCAACAACATGTCAACTGTGTTCCTTTCACTGGGCTGGGACTCTCAGGAAAAGGCAATGGTGGGCCTCAGGGCCCAGTTCTGTTCTCTGGGGACAGTCTCTAGTAGATTATCTGTTGACCTGAAGATGTGCTTCACCTTTGGGTAGATCCTGCAAGGAAGGGTCAGGGAGCAGGCACCAAGTGAGCCTAGGTAGAAGTCAGGGCTGTGCTGTCCTAGCCCTTGACATTTCTGATCATTGTATTCTACATATGGGATAAGATCTTCACAATGATTAGACACCGGATCCAAGGGTAGCTTTCTCAACTTAATATCATACAAGATTCAATGATGCTTCAGAATCAGGCTGCCATGTGGGGCCTGAGGCAATTTTGCAGATAACATCCCTTTCAAACAGGAAAGCAGATTACTACATTAATAAGCAGAGACTGTCACAGTCCAGTATGTGAATTACTTGGACCTCTGTTCATTTGCCTCTCTCCCTCTGCTTCTGGCCTGCTCACCAGGCAGTGCAAAGAGACTCTTAGGCCCCCGTGACTCTCTGAGAGATATGCTGATGGAGCAGGAGGAGTTGGAGTTTTTAATGGCTCCAGTGAGATGGAAAGGAGTAACCTGGAAGATCTGGGCCAGCCCAGTGTCTCTCTACCAAGTTCAACCTGGTCTCACTCACTGTCAAATTGGAAAGGTGATTTTAGTCAGCCCAAACTAGCTGGATTCCAGCTCTGCAGGGGGTTGGCAGGGCCAGGAAGAGCCCTTGTTTCCTTTTTCCCACACTGTGCACTGTTCTAGACTATGATGAGCCTTGGATGAAATGCCGTTTTTACTCTCATGTATTCAAATGGGTACATGGCATATTTGAGCTTCCCTGTGTTAACCTTTTTGCCCTTTCAGCACAAAAACACAGTGAGGTATTAGGGATCCCTGACTTACATGTAAGTTCACATGCCTACTTAGCCACCAGCCTCTGCTAGACACCTACAGGACCCCAGCTCTTATGAAGCTGACTCCACCAAACCACGCTGGCCGCCACGGACCAAACCGGCTTCCCTCCCCACTATCAAAAAGCAAATCAACTGCAGTGCGCTACACCACAGAACCTAAACTTTGCAGGGTGAGGACGCCCAAACTTCCCAGAGCTGTGGAACTCTACTTACAAGGTAGCCTTCTGAGAGATAGATCCAACTGAGTCGCATCTCTAGCCCACACCTTGCCAGAGCCTCACTGGCGCACTATTTAACAGGAAATGGAATTCATTGTGGCAGGTCTCACTTAGACCCGCCTCAGAGAGTTCTGTTATGAAGTAGCAGAGACATCTAATACAGCCAATTCACCCGTAACAGCCCCAGGGAGGGCCTCAAGGCCAGCGTTAGAGCCCAACTTCAGTGCAGCTCCTTCTCCTCATTAAGACAATCCCCTGGGCCCTGGAGTGCAGGGACCTTGTCAGCAGCTGATGCAAACAGCAACCACGGAGATGGCAAGCACACCTTTCACCTGGAGCAGCTGACACTGGAGGTGAGCTCCCAAGTGCTTCCAGGGCTGCTCTTCAAGAAAAATGGGACCACCTGGGTGCTTCCAGCTTCTAGTTACACTGCACCAATGTCCAAGGCCAAGCCCTCTCAAGAGTACAACTTATGGTCAAAGCAGATATATGAATAACCAGGGAAAACAATTGGAGAGATGTGTCTGGAACTCATGTGAGTAACAATCAAGTTGACAGGTCCCAGTAGTCACCTCGGAGAGCTGAGACTCTGTGAAGGCCATCATCCCCGCCTGGCTTTCGAGGTAAGTGTGTAGAGGGGGATATATATGTACACATATATAGAGTAGTGAGGCTATATAGACGTAGCAAAGCAGACACAGAAAGGAAAGAAGGACTGGGTTGCATTCCAGAGTCAAAGATATTTTTAAGGTCTCAGTTGGAAAACTAAAGGACTGACCAATCAGCACCTTCACTGATCCCATGACAAAACCACACAAACATTCCCTTAGGGCCAGATCACGTGTATTTGAGCGGGAAAAGGAGACAGGCAAATGGCATGACACACAGGGTTTCCTAGCTGGGAGAGCCTCTAGCTGCTTACTGATAACCTTCACATTCTACTTGGCCTTCACAGAAAGTTGGCTAAAGCTGGTTTACCTGAGGTACGTGGGCCATGTGGGGTGGGTTGGTATACGCCGGCTGAACGTGAGAAGGATGGATCGTAAAGACGGTCTGTTGTGCTGCTGGGAAACTATTCTGTGGCGACTGCGTGTTGGAGGCAGGTGTCATGGAGGGTGGAGTTGGTGCAAGCCCCGCGTGGTAAATGGCTGACTGCTGCTGTGGACTGGCCAGATGGAGAGCCTGGGCGGCCTGGTGCTGATGGTGCTGCAAAGCGACAGGAAAGAATTGAGAGGAAAACTTCTTTAATGAAAAGCAGCCAAGGGATACTCACAAAACTGAGCTTTGCACACGTGGGCCTATGATGAGGGGCAATGGAAAGTACAGGGGAATGTGCAGGATGGTAAGAACAAGGCTGGAGGTGCCTCCCATCTGGACATTCCTTTCTGGGGTGCAGAAGCCTGATTCTCGGCCTGGCAGTTAGAAGCTTCTGAGCATACTAAAGTTAAACAAGACTACTGCCCCAGGGAACTGACAAATATCAAAGAGTCTTTACCTCCATTAGCAAATATAATTCAAGAAGCTCATAGGAAAATAACCTCATCACATAAACCTTAATTAAAATTTAAA